GGGGAATGAGGTATATCCTTTCCTGTGACAATCTAACATCTTTTTCCAGTTCTGTTTCTGATGATTCTTCACAGACTATGTTTCTTGCATTCTTCTCTTTTTCATTCCCACTGCTATCTCTGTAGTTCAAACTTTTGTATCTTAGGCCTGGACTATTCCAATAGTTTAACTAGTTTCCCCACATCCAGTTTCTCTTGTAGTCAATCCATCTTAAACACTGCTGCCAGATTAATTTTCCTAAAAATTCACTGATCACATCAGTCCCCTTATTAAAAACATTTAATAACTCTAAGCACACCAATTTTCACTCCTATTTTCTTAAATAAATGAACCCCTTACACAAAACTGGCCTACTTGCCATTCTTTGAACACTTTTTTTTCTTTCCATGACCAACCATGTTGTTGTTTTGTAAACAAAACCAATATTTTAGTTTAAAAGGTTATCTTCATATGGTAATTGCACTGACAGAACTAATCATATCTATTATTTTTTTGATTCTGTGCCTTTGTCCATGCTGCTACACACACACACACACATACACACGCACCCTAAACAAACACAGACCCTCTTTCTTTACTCCTTTTTTAAATAAACATCTTATCTCTCCTTCAAGGGCAAGCTCAAATACCCCACTCTGCCACATGAAGCCTTTCCTGATTACCATAGCCAGAAATTATTTTCCTCTTCCTCTAAAATTCCTGTAGTGCTCAAATGGTGCTTACCAGATATTGTACAGATGTTTGTATCTTAACTTTCCACCTAAATCAAAAGATATGGAAGACAGGGACTATATTTTATTTTTAGGTTTTTATATCTCCCATAGCATTTAACCCAATGCCCTGCATAATTAGGTACTTAATGTAAATAAATGATTAAAATAAGTAAGAGTTTAATTCCACAGAGATCCATTGAGACAGCTAGGTGGTATAGTGGATACCTAACCAATGGGCCTATAATCAGGAAGATCTGAGTTCAAATTTGGCCTCAAACACTTACTAGCTATGTGACCCTGGGCAAGTCACTTAACCAGTTTGTCTCAGTTTCCTCAACTGTAAGACAAGGATAAGAAAAGCACCTACCTCCCAGGGTAGTTGTGAAGATCAATTGAGATATTTATAAAGAGCTTAGTACAGTTCCTAGCACACAGTAGGCACTTAATAAGTACTTGTTCCCCTTCCCATTGATTATGGGATAACAAGAATCAGGCTTCTTATGTTACCTAGCTATCCTATCACATGTCCTATACCATTTTATTGCACATAAATAAGTTGACTGTTTTAAAGGAAAACACAACCAGTTTTATCATAGCAGCTATGACTGTTAGTAAGATTTTTAGTAATGATACTTCTGTATGTTTTAACACTTCTCAAATCTCAGTACAAAAACACACACACACAATGCTACTGAATAGCAAAAACATTTTGAAAATTTAGACAATTTTTGGAAAACTTCACAATGGCCCTTGCAGTAACTGAAGGTACTCTCTGATGTTACAAGGCCAAAATTGAAAACCACTGAGCTAAATGAGACCTAATTCTTAAATGAATATTTTTTAAAATATTTAAAACACATAATAACTAGTTCATGGAAATGAATGGTAATATCCACTTAACTTTGATTATCTTGGTCTACTTTTCTGCTGAACTGCTTCAGTGGAAAGTTTAACATACATGTAAAAGCTAAATTAAAATTAACTAGTTTCATTCAGTCTATGAAATATAGCCAAATGTTTCCCAAAGTAGGACACTGATTATGTGACATGTTTTAATACAGGTGGAAAGGGTCGAAAATAACCTATTAACATGGTGATCCACAGCTTTCAAATGTAAGTTTTAATTCTGATATTGCTACGTTAATGTAAGTGCAGCTGACATTATCAGTTTCCACTGAAAAGGACATAAGACCAATAAAATCAAATCTGTGGACTCATTCTGGAAATGCTAACACTTAGACAAAGGACATTTACTAAACTTTTAAATGGGGCATAGTGCTTTATTAGTAATAAGCAATATAATTTCTTAGAAAATGAATTTTTTATTCTCTAGTCAATAAGCCGGTCATATACTCTTTTTACCAAGTATTTAATTTTTTCTTTTTTACTCAACTGTCTTAAGTTTTCTTGATTCACTTTTGTCTTTTGAGAGTGATGTCTCTGTATCTTTTAATTCTCTACTCGTTTCACCATACATATAGACACACAGACACACAAAGTGCTCTTGAATAATTATTTTTAAAATATTTATTTTAATCATACTTTTTTGAAATGCCAAATCAAGCATTTTATCTGTTATACTCTTCCAGTATGGATAGTTCAGTGTGTGTTTGTCTTTTGAAAAATGAAAATGTCAATGAAGATATCATCCTTTAATGGAAGTCGTCTATCCAATGAATCCATTTTTTAAAATGTACAACTAGTGAATCTGAATTCAACTCGGTCAAATTTGAATGTTCAAATACTGGGGTTCCTCAAAATTAAATTACTAATTTGGGCATTAAAGTTAATTCTTAGAAAGCAAAAACTAAAAGGTTATTGACATTTAAAAGATGTATATAAACTAACCTATCTTAATATTTTTGCTGTTTTTTACTAGCTGAAGAAGATTTAGGAAGTACTGGTGATGACAAAAAGTCCAAAATGTGTCAAATTTTGTAATGTAATCCAATGGGACTAAATCACAAAGATTTTTCTGCTGATGGAGAAAAACTGAAAACGACTAAAGAGTTTCCATGGATCTTAACTAAGTACTGAACAAAAGAACCATCAAAAACAGCAAAAGTACAAAGAATGGGTCCGACCTTTGGATCTAAACTCTTAGGTTTTAAAATTAAGTCATGCATAATCTAACGCACTATCCACAAAACCTTAAATAAACTACTTGTTAGAAATCAGTTTCCTTTTAATACCTGAAGCCAGCTTTCAGAGTCAAAATCCTTCAAGTCAACAAAAGTTTGGACACAAGAAACAAGGAATACAAGAGAGCTACTCTTCAAGATTTCCTCCATCTGCAATAAACATCATCCTTTCTTTCTCCATACTTCTCACTGGATATTTTAATTGTCTAGATAATATCACTTCCCCGCAGTTTATAATAAATCATAGCTTTGTGCCAATAAAGGCTCAAAACATATCTCTCCTACTGCTCAAACCTTTGTGACAATATTTTATTAAGTTAAAAAAAAGCTCCTGTCCTCACAAAAATTATCATCTCTTCAGCTTCACACATACACATATACATACGTATTTATGTAAAATTTTTAATATTTCTGGAATTATTTGCCAGACATTTAAGAAGTATTATTTTGACAAATAAAACTGGGGAAAACATTACTTTGAACATATGGTAAATTTCTTAAGTCCACAGTAACTTAAAGCTAAAAATAAACAGAAATAATCTACTTCAGACTAAAACGGAAAAAAAAAGACTTAAGAATGTCAAAAGATTTCTAAATTAGAATAGACTGATGGCAATTCAAGACACCTGGAGGACTCTTTTATTCTTAGAAATGAATGTAAATATAATCTACTCTGCACCAATAGTTTCATTTTAAGTAGCAAAATAAAGTTTTACTGACAAATTTCCATCTTAATATTCTTTAATATAGAATCATTAAGGACATGTATGACTGGATAGAGAAGTAGGCCATGTATAAAGTAGGAAATAGACTCAGTTCACTGATATGCATAAAATATTAAAAGAAGACCTTCTTCAAACAGGGTAGATTCTCTGTGTAGGATTCACTGGAAAACCTGGATAAAAAATGCACAGGATGAAAAGGGATGGCAAAATCTACTGGGTGTAGTCATACCAATGAGACCATGGCTCCCTTAAAATACTAGAGTACAAGTAATTAATACCCTAAAATTGTTTTTTTCTCTATTCAATGGTATATCAATGGAATAAATAAAATCTAAAGTAACAAGTCTGATTTTTAAAATATGCACACACTGAATGTATGTATCTAAAAGATTATTTCCTGCAAAGCATTCATTTGGAAGGTTTAACACTATTCAAAGCATTTTTGGAAATGCCTTCAGGGCCAACTAATGGACTACATAAAGTCAATCTCATTTGGGGCAGCTAGGTGGCACAGTGGCTAGAGCACCAGTCCTGGAGTCAGGAGGACATGAGTTCAAATCCAGTTTCCTACTCTTTACAAACTTATCAAATCCTTTTCATTCTCAAAAATCACATTTTTTTATCATTAAAACCATAGGCTAATAGTAATTTGAGTAGAAAATTCATTTAACACAATGTAGATCACATGCTATAGTAACTCACCCAGGAATAGACTATTTACTTCTTCCTAATGGCATAGAACAAATTGCATAATTCATGTTACTCTCCTCCACAGTGCCTGATACATCAAACCTGATGACTAAATAAATGTGTACAGTGAACATTAAAAAAAACATTCAATTACATATTTTATGGTTTAATATCATAGTAACTAACCAATTCTATAAAAAAGTCTTTAAAAGTTAACACTGTATTGATATGGGTTTCAATGAAACTACTAGAATTTTGTAGTCACTTCTAACCCATTTTCTCATTACCATCCATCATTATCTACCAATCTACTCTCTTTTATAGGTTATCTGTGTTACTATATCCAAGAATGTATGTGTATATAACTTATTCAGTTAAATCCTCTCAGTGTATATAAACTGTTTTTCTCAGAGGCAAACACTTCGGAAAGCACACAAACTCTTAGAGGCCAAGATTACAGCTAGTGTTTGAAATATACAACAGTAATAATTTTGTATATGGGACTCCAGTAGCCCGTGACTTCCATTGCAACAAATTCTACTTGGTTACTAAGTGTGGAAAGACACAGTGAGGATGCCAGGCAAGGAAAGATGTGCCTAAAGTGAAGAGAATGCTAAACATGCCCCCTGACTGGACAGAAGTATATAAAAGAAGATGCCAAAATTATGGGGGAATGGGTCATAAAAAGTGAAACGAGAGGGGAATGGAGAAGACAAACTTGACTTGCTTCCTAATTTTGCCTCGATGAAAACCTTTATTATTTGGAGTAACTACAATGGAGAAAACCAGTCTGAATTGGTAAAAAATACAAAATATTTTAATAGTTGTAGTGGAACCATGCTGCATTGATAAAATTCTTCATAGAGATTTTGTGACAAAAACACTTGGTGAATAAGCCAGGATTATGTAATATGAGCTAATACTGTTATCATCACACTACTAGAAATCATACTCCTACTAAGAATTAAGGGATTAAAAACAGCTTCTGATTCTCTGAAGTGAACTACTAAGTGAAGAGAGTCATTCAAACTTCTTCACCCCACCTCTAAGCCTGTAAACTTTTTTTCTGTTATATTTTATTGAAGTAAATGGTCTGGGAATTTAGATAGAAGGGAAAAGGGACTTTTCTTTTCCTCTTCCCCATAAACAGAATAAAATCAACAACTTTTTTAGAAAATGACTTTTGTAGATAGAGAGATCAGAGAAAGCATTTTTTGTAGGATATTTTTGTAGGCAATTAACCAAACCAGCCAAAACACTTACTACAGGCCATCCCCACAGCTTCATAATATTCATAATAGTAATGGACTAGACCATTAGATTTCATAGACCAATGATTTCATTGGCATAGGGAAATCCTCTACTAATGCAGATTAACATCTGCTCTGCAACATGAAAGTCACAGAGATTTGTCTAGGGGCACTGAGAGGTTAAATGACTTGCATGGATCACAGAGCCAGTATATGTCAGTGGCATGACATGAACCTATATTTTTCTGTTGAAAACAGAGGCCAGCTTGCTAAGCACTTGGCCATACCTCCCTATGATGATATTCGCTATAGAATGACTTTACTTATAACACACTTCAGAAGTTGCCTCACTCCCAAGCAGTAATTTAAACAAAGGACATACTAACAGCAAAGAACAAAACACATACCAAAATTGATTTTCTAAGGATAATCTTCTGCAAATTTAACAAGAGGAGGGAAGAAGGCTTACTCTGTCAATATCACTTCCCAACTCCTACCTCACACTTCTTTCCCCTCATCTCAAGTAGAGGTTCTGCAAGAACCAGTTGGCTCCTCTGCTCCTTAGTAAAACAAATTCCATTTAGGAATACATGGAAAAGGACAGAGGTAAGGAGACCAGTATGCTTCTTATGGTTCTCTCCAGCAAACTTCCACTCCTCATTATAAGATTCCTTCATAGCTTTCATAGTATCACAGAGAAATAGCTATAAAATAAGAATTGTCTTCTATAGTCAAATATGAACTGGACTTGAGGAAGACATCTGGGGGAAAAGCAATGCAGGAAGGTTTTTTTTTCCTTCCTACAAATAGTATTTCCTTGTGAGCAAGGATGAAATAAATCACATGTCATCCTTCTTGAAAATCTGTCCAAATTTAACCAGTGATGAAACTGACTTTGTGGTCAAGTGATTTAAGCCTCTACAGAAGCAATCAGCTCTATAGGTTATGCAGAACTGCACTTTGTAACACAGTTAATGTGTCAAATAAAGTATATTACTGTCAGATGTAGCTGGATGATTGGTTGTTTCTAAACAGAAACTACTCGAGTTTCAACTTGATAAAGAAAACATAAAAGTCTAATTAAAAAAAGAGGTTCGAGGAAGATTTTCACATTAAGGAATAAAGGCTCTATCCTTGATGTTTCACAGAAATAAATCTTGAAAATATTCATCAAACTCTTCTTCCCTGTTAAAAGAAAAAAAAATATTAGAAGTTTTCCTAGAAAGGGTCATGATATTCTGATTTTTAATCTATGGAATGGAAAATGAAGGCGACTGTTACTATTTCTTTCCACATGGGACAGGTTATCATAGGAGTTTTTAAAGAATATACTATTTAAACCCTATTAAGTATATACTAGAGGGATTTAAGGAGTGGATGGATGGCCACCTGTCAGAGTCTTTTTAGCTCTAAGAGTCCATGGTCCTTCTACACAACCTTGTCTACTTTTTGTGACAGCTACTAATACACATGGCCCCCATAGCCAAGAGGTACGCTTATAACAGGAGCTGGGATCATTCTCTGTTTTATCCTCTTTGTGGCAACAGATTTGGAATAGATTCTGGTCTCCCTAAGCCATGTCATCTCTGCCACAAAAGCAGTCATTTTTGATACTGAACCTCTGCATTAGTTGCTAAAGACAGGACAGGATGGTGACTTTCAGATGAAGTTTTTAAGTCTGTTGCACTACCAATAGCAAAACTTACTGTGATTTTTCATCTGTTTCCTGCAGAGGACCCTTCCATAGTTCTGCTTCTGAAGTGCCTTCTTCCTCATCACAGTTTTCTGAGGAAATTAAAATCTGAAAGTTATTTAAAAAAACCACACATTTTGAGCAACCAATAGCTTTATATTCACATCATGACCCACCAACACATTAAATTAGCTTTGAATCTAACTGCAACTTGGTTTCTATCATTGCAACATATTGCAAACTTAATTACATTAGCCAATAAATATTAAGTACCTTCTTAAAAAATTGAGTAAAACAACAGGTGTGTACCAATCAGCTCTTCCACCGAAATTCTCAGCAGAAAGATCAAAGATTTAGTAGCTCATGAAATGGTTTTTCAAGTTTCACTGAATTAAAATAACTATAACAATTGTCTTACTAATGAACTTCTGGGAGTAACAATCTATCTGCCATGTACAAAGGATGCTTATGTTTTACAGTTCTGGCTTTACTTATGTTTTTTTCTTAATATACATAGGCTTCATCCTTACAGCAGGATTAAGATTTAAGGGACTTGCATTCTCCAATTCATAAACAGTCAAAGGATGTGAACAGGCTGTTTTCAGATGAAGAAATTAAAGCTATGTATAGTCATGAAAAATGCTCTAAATCACTATTGATTACAGAAATGCAAATCAAAACAACTCTGAGGTACCACATCACACTTATCAGATTGGCTAACATGACAAAACAGGAAAATGATAAATACTGGAGAAGATGTGGGAAAATTGGACACTAATGTATTGTTTGTGGAGTTGTAAACTGATCCAACCATCCTGGAGAACAATTTGGAACTATGCCCAAAAGGCTATAAAAACGTGCCTACCTTTTGACCCAGCAATACCACTTCCAGGTCTGTATTCCAAAGAGATCATACAAATGGGAAAAAGACCCACATGTACAAAAATATTTATAGCAGCTCTTTTTGTGGTGGTGATGTGGTGTTTGAGTGCTTGTGCTTGTACCTGAACCCCAATTTCTCTCTAGTCTCAGAAACATTGTCTCTGACAACCACTCCCCAGTCCAAGGACACTGTGCCTAGCAATTATTCATGCATGGGCCCTAGCAAGACCCTTGTCTCTCTTCGTGGTGCAGCTACACAAAGCCGGTGAGAGAGTGCTGGGCTGCTCAGGCCCCAGCCTCAGATCATGTCTCTGGAAGCCTCCCAATTCCTTAGTAAGTTCCTGTCTTGTGAGAAAGCTCTCCCTTGTTGCAGAGCATTCTCTCATCAAGACAGAGGGAGAAGGGTGCCTTGCCCAGCCCAAGGAGTTTTGTCCTTGGCTGGCCCAAGGACTCTTCCTTCTGCCAGACTCCAAAGATCCATACTTCTGTCATCTCCTTCCCTGTCTGGTATACTCCCTGTACTTTCCCATCCATAGCTCCCAAAGACACCTGGACCTTTGAATTACCTAGATGGTACCCCTGACATTCCTTTCCCATGCCCTTTTCCATATAAACCCTAGCTCCATCCTCAGTCTCTTGCAGGTTCCTTAAGAATCCTTGCCCACTGAAAAGTGTAACAATAAATCTTTGTCACCTTGACTTAAAGAATGCTTGAATCTGTGAATTCATTCCAGATGATCCCGTCCTGTACTCCAGTCTTTGAGGAGTCTCAACCTCTCAGACCTCAACAGTGGCAAAGAATTGGAAATTGAAGGGATGCCCATCAATTGGGGATGGCTGAATAAGTTGTGGTATATGAGTAATGGAGTACTATTTTGCTATAAAAAATGATGAGCAGGCCGACTTCAGAAAAAACCTGGAAAGACTTATATGAACTGACGGTGAGTGAAGTAAGCAGAACCATTGTACACAATAACAGCCACATTGGGCAATGACTGACTTTGATAGACTTAGCTCTTCTAAGCAATGTAAGGATCTAAGACAACTTCAAAAAGACTCACAATGGAAAATGCTATCCATACCCAGAGAAAGAACTATGGAGACTAAATGCAGATGGAAGCATACTATTTGCTCTCTCTTTATTTTCTTTTTCTGTTTGTTTCTTCTTTCTCAGGGTTTCTCCCACTGGTTCTAATTCTTCTTTACAACATGACTAATGTGAAAATAGGTTTAATATGAATGTACATATACAGACTATATCAAATTGCATGCTGTCTTAGGGTGGGGGGAGGGGAGAGATGGAGAGAAAATTTAGAACTCCAAATCTTATGGAAGTGAATGTTGAAAACTAAAAGTAAATAAATAATTTTAAAAAAGATTTAAGGGACTTGATTTTCTTAGCTCTAGTGAAAGATTCTAGCTCTAGAAAAAATTACCATTTTTATTATGATAAAATATTTTCCAAATATATAAACACCATATTTCCAAGAAAAAAAGCATAATTACAACTAATTTTAGATGGTCTTTTCTGTATTAAATAGTATTACAAAATGTTAAACACTATATCGCATAGCATTAAAATTATGCCTACACAAAGCAACAGTTAGCAAATGATTTCCTGTCAACAACAACCATTTATCTTAAAAAAAAAAGGAAAGAAAGGAATCAACAACAAGAATTCTGCTTGTCAATGCACAATGTTACTTAGTTTAATACACTGTGAAAATACAGTAGTATTGATTTGCCATGGTGGCCCTAAATCTGTTGGACTCTGATCCTTATATAAACACAAGTAACTGAACTTTGTCCTAACCTAGTCTGTTCTGGCACAGAATACCAACAACCAAAGATAGGAAAAAAGAACCACTGAATGCCAAATGCAAAGAAAATACCATAATAAAAGTTTGAGAATAAATAATCAACCTCAGGCTCAATAATGAGCACTTAAATGGGAATTATTGATATTGCAATTTGAACTACACAAAAAGAGAGCATAAAATCCACTTGTACCATTTCTACTAAAGCTCACTGCAATAAGGTAAAGGAAGAAAAAGATAATTATTTAGGAGTTGGCCTTTTAGCCAAACAATCACTCTAAAAGCACTCTGCTAATTCTATGGATAATAAGATTTATAAAGCTTTTGAAAGCTCTCATGCCAAGAGTCCTTGAACCAACTTTCAATGGGCTAATAACCTAACCACTCCATCTCTCTATGTCCTTCCCAAGGATTCTCCCTGAATACAGCCTTTCTGTAACAGTTTGTTTTGGAGGAGGAGAGGAATCACATAATCTAAGTTTAATGATGAAAATAAGAAGAGGTTAGTTTAGTGCATGGGTGTGGAACCTGTGGCCTCGAGGCCACATATGTCCTTCTAGGTCCTTGAGTGTACCCTTTTGACTGAGTCCAAGTTTTACAGAACAAATCCTTTTATTAAAGGGATTTGTTCGGTGAAGTTTGGATTCAGCCAAAGGGCCACACTTGAGGACCTAGAGGGCCACATATAGCGTTGAGGCCACAGATTCCCCACCCTGGTTTAGTGTAAGACAACTCCTTTACTTTGAAAGGTTATAAACACAAGAAATAGCTAAGTATCTTCAAAAAACCAATTTTACAAAGAAATGTGATTTCCTCAAAAATGACAATGGCTTCAAGTTATCACAATAGTGCCTGCCGCTACCTGTTGAATTTGGGAATGGTGTTACTATGGAAACAATGGCTACAGAATGTCTAGTTCAAAGCAGGATTCATGCTCCAATTTCAAAACTATTCAGTAATTACTGGCAAATATGTATATGCAGGCATTTACCTGATCAATCAGATACTAAAATGAAGCCTACATGTAAATCTTTTAATTCTAGTGAAGAAACTACTAAAATCTCCAGTTAATAATTCATTAACAAACGACTCAATGAGTAAGCTCTGGGTCTGTACTCAAACAGAAAAATGAATGCATCTGAAATCATTTTGTGAGGATACTTTTTTGGGATAAGCTAATAAATCAAAATTATGTCATATGCTACAAAGAATGCAGCCTCAGAATGGTAGTCCTCTTTGAAGACCAAGTACTCCTTTCACGACCAAAGCATGTGCTGCTCTCTGAACAGAATGAGGTGTCAGAAAAAAAGGGGTAGAGGCACAGAGAATAATAACAGCCCACATATCTGCATACTGCACCTATGTAGATATAATATTATTTGATTCTCACAACAACCCTGTTGATGCAGATGCTATTATATTATCCCCATTTTATAGACAAGGAAACTGAGGCTAAAAGGTTAAGTGACCTGTATAAATTTTCACAGCTAAGTGTTTCAGGCAAGATTCAAACTCAGGTTTTCCTGGCTCCCAGTTTGGCACTCAATCTACCTTGCTATTACTCCCCCATAGACTATACTCCTTAAGGCAAAACTATTTTGTGTCTTTCTATGCCAGTGTCTAGTACAACATACTAGCACATAGTAGGGACTTAATAAATGCTTGGTTTTTTTTATTTTTGTTTTAGGCAATTGGGGTTAAGTGACTTGCCCAAGGTCACACAGCTAGTAAGTGTCAAGTGTTTGGTCTGAGGCCGAATTTGAACTCAGGTCCTCCTGACTTCAGGGCTGGTGCTCTATCCACTGCGCCACCTAGCTGCCCCATAAATGCTTGTTTGATGAAGAGAACCTACTATGGTTATCACTGGCACACATCTGGGGATAAAAAAGCTTTATTCACCAAAATTTAAACCAAAAAAAGTCTCTATAACTGATGCCCACAGCACATATGATGGATTTTACACAACTACTAAAACAATTACCACTAAGCAAATACTTCTACGATCACAAATGTCTTGAACATGCATCCATAGGTTCAAAAAGGGAATATGTTAGATGAGATAAGAAACAGATGAGCTCAACTAGGTTGACTGATAGAGCTTGAAGACCTGCTTAGCTCAGAAGACCCAAGTTTCAGTCTCAGCTCTTCAACTTCCTAGCTGTATTATTTTGGGCATGAAGAACCTCACTGGCAAGACAGCCCTCACAGATCATCTAGTATAACCTATACTTCAAAAGGAATTCCTCTTGCAACATTTCCAAGAAGTGATATGATAGCCTTCATTGAAGACTTTCAATGGTGGAGAATTGTTCTCTTTCGTCTAGTTAGAACTGTAAGAAAGTTCTTTGTTACATAAAATAAAATCTACTTTTTTATAACTTCCAACCACTGCT